GCTTGTACTGACACTTGCGCGCACTCAAATTTAAGTTGATTTCTCGGAGACGCTCTAACACTTTCTTGAGGTTGTCATCATGCTCCAATTCCGTGGCTCCATACACCAGAATGTCATCCACTATCACCACACATGGGTATCCAGCTAGCAAATGTTCCATTGCACACTGGTAGACTTCTGATGCTGAACTGATTCCCATCGGCATGCGACAGTATCTGTAACGACCATACGGTGTTCCAAAGCATGTCAGATATGACGACTTCTCCTCCAATGGAATATGGTAGAACGCTTGTTTGGCATCCACCACGGTGAAGTATTTTGCGTTGGGCATGTTTGACACTGCCTCCTCAATAGTACGCAGAGGATATCGAGGTCTCTTGATTGCTTTATTAAGATCTCCAGGATCTAAGCAAATGCGCAGTTCATCAGAGTTCTTTTTTGTAGTCACCACTAAAGCAGATACCCAATCTGTAGGTTCCGTAACTGGTGCTATAATACCCTTAGCAACCATGTTGTCAAGCTCCTCTTTCAGCTTATCTTTCACAGCAACTGGCACTTTTCTTACCGCCCGGATTATCGGTGTGACTTCTGGATTAACCGTCATTTTGTACCGTGTTGGCAGTTTCCCTAGAGTGTTATCAAACAGGCCCTTGTACTCTTCCAATATGCCTGCTGGTAATGTATCTTTGCTCGCTGGTAATGAATGTTTGCTCGCTGGTGTGTAAAGTTCATCACTTGTAACTGATGTCTGTTGCTCTGACACGATTTCATATACGTCTGCACTCAATGTGATTAATCCCAGACGAAAGCTGTCCTTGAGTCCAAGCAGTGTCCTTGCGTTGTGGTCTACCACATGAAACTCAAGCGAATGACTCTGTTTGTCGTATAAACACGACAGGTTTACATCTCCCATCGATGTGACAGTGTGACCTCCAAATCCTATCAGCTTCACTTTCTTAGCTGTATTTAACAGCTGTTGTACATGTAACTGTCGCAGTGTATTGTAGCTCATGATGTTACACTTAGCTCCGGTGTCGACTTTCAAAGTTGTCTTGGTTCCGTTAAGTTCCAACTCAGTGTGAATGTCGTCTTTGGAGTTATTGTTCAAACCATTTACTGACTCTATCGTTGCTGTGAGTGTGACTGCGTTCTTCCTGTGGTGTTCTGCACATCTGAGCAAAATGGTTCCACTTTTTGCACTTAACACACTGTTTCTTGTAGGCTGGACATGCCTCACGAGCTTTGTCATGCTTACGACCACAACAACCACATGGCTTGTATCCTTTGTGTGTTTGTGGTTGCTTGGGCCATGCATTAGTTTGTGGTCTTCTTTTCCACTGTGCTGTACGCTGTTCTCTGACAACATCAACATTAAGTTTATTTTGCATAAACTTAGCATCTTATTCTGATAGTTCGTGTATCTGACACGTATGTATGGCCTTGTCCAGTGTGAGTTCACTTTCTCTCAACAGTATTTTCCGAACACCGTCAGCTGTGATTCCTATTACAATTCTGTCTCTAATCAGCTGATCACACAGTTGCCCATACTCACAGGTGCTTGCTTTATTGCGCAAATCTGCTGCAAAAGTTTGTATTGTTTCACCTTGTTGTTGTACTCGGGAGTTAAATTTAAACCTCTCCAATATCACATTACTCCTCGGGTTACAAATTTGTCTGAATTTACGTTTCAGGCACTCGGGATTTCCCCTTGATTCCGCCGGTATTACCGCTTCTGGATTCACCGGGTCTGTACGTTCCGGTTCATAGACAAACGAACGTTCTCTCTCGATTGCCTCCGGTCCCGCAAGGTTCAATAGCATATATGCTCTCACTTTATCGGATTTTCCACTAAACGCACATGCGACATAAATGTCATACTCGCGTTCAAATACTCGCCAACTTTCCGCGGCATTTGTTCCGAAACTCAGGGGTTCTGGCTTTCGTAGTCCCCCTTCTGCCATGTTGGATTTTCTCCGATTACACGTGAGCTCACCGGCTCTATGATCAATCGTCAATTTACGACGTTAGCATCTCACACTTCATGATCAAATGTCACTCTCCGTGTCCGTCCTTCCTTCCGATCCGACTTCTGACACCATGTAAGTTTTGTTACTTCATATATATAGTCAAGAGCAGAAGGAGAGCGTACAAGGGTAAAATGCTGAAACCATGCTGCAGTATTAGTCGAATTAATAAACTTTTCCCGTTTTATTTTGACGATCCTTTGCAGTATTATTGATTAGCTGTCTTACCTTGTTCATATAAAACAAACCGCATGTCCCTACGATGCCCCTACCCTGAGATAATGAGCGGTGAAAATCTGGTATTTTCACCGAAAACCGACTCGAGATCAGTGTGTACTGCGTCCCTCACTCGAAGTGTTTTCAGTGTTTTGCTTCCGGTCGCCGCTGTGTAGCGCCATAGTGGCACTGACTCACGTAATACTACCAGAGTTTACTATACATCCAGCGTGAGGTGGGCGTGAGGTGGGCACAGGTGGGGGTCATCACTATGGCAATCAATAACAGACGTCATTCATTCAATTTGTCAATCATTGAACGGAAATACGCGAGGTTTACCGAAGTTATAACACTTCGAGAGAGGGTTGCAGTACTGACTAATGTCTAGTC